TTAATATTTATTTTTTTTAGTTTTTGGCGGACACAACATCTTTGTTTGTATGTGGTGCTGAGGATCGAACCCGGGCCGCACACATGCCAGGCGAGCACGCTACAGCTTGAGCCACATCCCCAGCCCCCCAAAAATAAATATTAAAAAAAAATTCTCTCTCTCTCTCTAAAAATAAACAAATTCTACCTAAATTGCACATTTAAATGTAGAGAATCTTAAAAAAAAAAGACTTAAATAATAAGTATTTTATAACCCCTGAGTGTTTCACTGTATAAGTACAATAACTATTACTTATAATAAGCATTAATAAGTGCAAGAATCTAGATTTGATTCAAGTACACATAATTTAACAGATTAAGCAAAAAGTTTTAGATGTCTTTCTCAAATGGCCAAAATAAATATCTTGGTTCTTAAAAAGTAAGATTCTTAATACATAGTATAGTAAATATGTATAGTAAATTCATAAAACTTATTCTCTAAAGAACTTAACATAAATTATGCACTAGTATAAAATATCTAACCGTTATACTTTTACATTTTAAATTTAAAAAGTATAGCATGCTTATATATAGCAGAAAACAAAACATTAATATGATTAAATTACCTAGAAGTTAAAAAATTTAAAAAAAGATTTTTGCAACTATTTACACTTCATATATTAAAAGTCAAAAATATTTACTTAATATCACAGATAGCTAACATTCAAAGACTTTAGTTCCCAGAACACCGTTGGGGATCAACAGTATATTAAAAACAACTGGTTTGGGGCTGAGGTTGGGGCTTAGTGGCAGAACACCTGCCTAGGACGTGTGAGGCACTGGGTTTGATCCTTAGCACCACATAAAAACAAAGGTATTTTGTTCATCTACAACTAAAAAAAATTTTTAAAAATGCATTGGTTCAACATAATTTTTTTTAAATCACACTTTCTTCTTTCTGTTGTAGCTGAGCAAATTTATGAAGTTTTTTCACAAATTAAATAAAAAGCAATACACTTAATCCAAAAGCAATACACTTAATGACCTTAACAGTTAATCATTCAATGAAAAGCAGAAGACTTTCTACCTACATGTTTGTTTGCTAATAACCTGAATAAAGAGAACGCATAGTAAATTTAACTATGCCACATACACACAAGAAGCACATCAACTGTCCTTAACATATGTAAATTCATTTTGTTGTATTAATGTGACATCTTCTTCCTTTAGCAAAAAGCTGTCTCTTTCCCGCTTTGGAACTCATGGTCAAATCCCAGAAAAGGAAAATTCCCAAATCTAAGACTGTAACAGGGGTCCACTTCATGTTTTGAGTATAAACCTTGCTGCTCAACCACAGGTGGCTTATTTTAAAACTGACATTTCACCCACCCCCTTTTCCTTCCTCTCACCTACCTTCCCTATCAAGGAAAATAAGACAAACATTTTTCTTATTCCAGGCTAGGCTACTGTGTCCTTCATTGCCCAGAAGGGTGTCACTACTCACAAGAATAAAAACAACCCAACTGGAGCAACAGCTCTCTCAAGGACACCCAGTGGACACTAATTACTAATCTCTACCGATAATATTTGGATCCCAGCCCTTATATCCCTCTTTCAAAAGCCCTGTGTTCCCCCTGGCAGGGAAAATCCTATATTTTTCCTTTACTCGCAAATCAATGAAACTTTTCTCAAAACCTTGTCATCATTATTAGATCAGAAAGAGACAAAGGACCAAGCTTCTGATATCAAGACAGTTATAAAATAGCTCCTGAAGCCAGCTCCTTCCTTCTCTCAGCTCCTAGACTTCTCCATAATTCCCAATTTTTCACACATGCATTTCAAGGAAACTGGCCTGTAGGGTTGGAAATAGGTAGAGGGACACAAGGTCTTCTAGTGGCAGGTGTAGTAAAATAAAAAATTACAGCTGAAGGTCTAATAAATATTGTAACACAACAGATTATGTTTCATATATATAATCCTGGATTTTAATATAAGCAACCATGAGTCAATTCAAATCAACAAATATTTATAGGGTATCTACCATGTGCAAGGCATTTACTCTTCCAAAGTCCCAGGCTCCAATGGCATGACTAATGCAAGAGCTATTTATATAACAATATAAGTTATCCAGATGTAAGCAGTGTTATTTCAAAGGAGAGTATCTGTAAATCAACAGATACAATGTGCAGGTGCTAAGAGTAACACAATCTAGTCCCTGCCCTTCAGTATAATGCAAACAATCCATAAATTCTTTACAACATACTGTGCAAGAGACAGGTAAACTCACAATGGAATGTTATGTAATTATAACAGAGGAATATACTAAGTGTCATGGAAGAAGGTGGGGTGTCAGTTCTCAAGAAATGATTTGCTACAATGGTATAATCTGAACCAACTCCTTTTGTTCTGAAAGGATCTCCCTGGCTAACTCAATGAAAACTGTAAGGTGAGAAAGAAAAGCATCATTCTAGAGTCAGTCCAGTTGGTCAATAAGTATTAACTGAACACATACAACCTTCTGCTGTCTTTAGTGCTAGAGATGCAGTGGTAAATAAGTGGTAATTAAGATCTGTGCCTTTAAGGAGTTTATAGTCTGGGAGTGGAAAGTGGACAGTCAACACACATACATATACCTAGGTACCAATATACATTAAAAGGAAAATAAATCAGAGTAAAGGATTGTTTAAGTGTCTAAGAAAGTCTGAGATATCTTAGGTCTCAATCTAAGATCTGAGTGATTAAAAGCAGGTAGCTATACAAAGATTCGGGGGAAAAAAGGATTCCAATCAGAATGAATAGCAACTATAAAGAACTGAAATACAAATAATGCTGGCCAGTATATGTAGAACATAAATGAGGAGGGAAAAGAAGGTGACAGTCACATGTTGGTAATGACTGCTAGTTATTTACCAAAAATATGTTTTCTCTTTCTGGGATGTAACTAAGTCTACACCCCCTAGCCTCTCCTCAAGTTAGGTGGTATCTTGTGACTGGATTCTGGATAACAAAATAAGGGCTAAAATTAAACATACAACTTCAGCGCCAACATTTTAAGTATGTGGGTACTTTCCCTGCCTATAGTTTCTCCCATATGCAGGCAAGATACAGGTAACAATCAGGCCCAAAGGAATGGCAGAGCCTTAAGAAATAGCCATCTGCTGACTATGACATTCCATTGGACTGTTATGTGAGTATAAAATAAGCTTACTTTTGTATTTGAGCCAGTATGTACTTTGGGTCTATTTTTACACAGCCAAGACTAAACTGTCCTGACTAATAGAAGGCTGGCTATATCATGTAGGGAGCCTTATCAGTTTTTAATTTGAACTTTACTCTAATTGCAATAGAAGCAAAGAAATAATACAATCCAATTTTTGATTTATAAAGATCATTCTCAGCCACCCGTGGTGGCACATACCTGTAATCCTAGCTACTTGGGAAGCTTAAGCAAGAGGATCCCAAGTTTGAGGCCAGCCTAAGGAACTTAGCAAGACTCTGCTTCAAAATAAAAAATAAAAAAACTGAGTATGTAGCTCAATGGTAGAGTACACCTGGGCTTACTCCCCAGTACCAAAAAGGGGGAAAAAAAAAAAAAAACTGTTTACAAGCAAAATCTAGCTGCTATGTAAATAATGGACCATATGGGATCAACAGTGGATAGAAAGTGAGACTAGAGGAGACCCCTGGAATTATCCAGGTGAGAGAAAATACTGGCTTAGACTAGGCAGTAGCAGCAGATATGGTAAGAAATGGTCAGATTCAAGATATATTTTAAAGTAGAGCCATGAGCCCCTAGTGGTAAGACTGCATATAGCATGCAAAAGAAAACGAATAATCAAGAATAACTTCTTGGTTTTTTGTGTAAGCAATACAGTTCATGGTGGTGTCATTAAAGAAAACTGAAAAAAAATTGGAAAGGAACAGAAGAAATCTAACAAAGAATGAAGGGAGTCCATGCTTCTTTTTTAGCTGTTTTGTTTGAAATGTCTAGAAAATCTCCAAATAAAAAATGTCAAAACAGTTCAGTATATGAGCTTGGAGCTCAGAAGATAGGGAATATGTATTTTCTGTTCACCATCATAAAGTCTGGATTAGCTCTCTCTAACCTCCTACAAGACAAAATTCAAATCCTTAGTCAGTCCTGTCAATAGATGGTCCTCTACCACCCTTATTCTGCACATGCTTCTTCATGTGGTTCTACTTACATTACCTAATACCCTCTCCTCTTCACTACCCAAATACTATACATTTTTTTAAGGCTTATGTCAGAACCTCCTTTGTCAAGATTTTCCTAACGCTACCTAAATTTGAGATAATTTCTCCATTTTCTGGAGTTACACAGTAATTATTTTCTACATACCTAATTTAGAAAAGGCAAAAGTAACATTTTGTTATATGCCATCTCCTCTTAATATTATTAATCTAATTTTACACATTTGTTCCTTGATTCTCAAATGTTTCCTTAACAAGACAAAACATACTTTACCTTTCTTTATATTTCCTACAGGGCATTATATACAACATGCATATGGACATTCTTATTTATTTGATATCTTTTAAAAGGCAACGAGTGGGGCTAGGGCTGTGACTCAGTGACAGAGTGCTCGCCTAATACGTGTGAGGCACTGGGTTCGATCCTCAGCACCACATTAAAAAAAAATAAGTAAAATAAAGTTATTTTAAAAAGGGCAATGAGATAATTAAGACTTTTGGGAATATTCTCACCAAAATCAAAGAAAGCAAAACACAGAGGTAAACTTCAATCATTTTGGAAAACCACTAATTTAAATATACCTTATTCTCTAACAAGACTCACAAAATAAAACATTACTGTACTTAAAATGTAAAAATTTAGTTCACAAGGAACTTACCTATATCAATATCAGTAAACCCTTCTGCACTTATAGCATCCACTGTGCTTTTGTCTATAGTGTCCAGACAAAGACTAGCAAGCTGAGGTTCATCAAATAATCGAGCCTAAACATAAGGAGATAATTTTTATTTTCATAGTTATTTCACCTTCAGGCTGTACATATTCAAAACTGATACTATAAACAGTTATAATTCCTCATTATATAAAAATACCTATTTAAAATAATTAAAAAATCTTTATTCTACAATTAGAAATAAAAAACTAAATATACAAATGCCAAGTGAGGCATGGGGGTGCATGCCTGTAATCTGGAGACTGAGGCAGGAGGATCACAAGTTTGGGGCCAGCCTTGGCAACTTAGCAAGACCTTAGGCAACTTAGTGAGACCCTGCCTCAAAATTAACAAATAAAAAGAACTGGGGATATAGTTCAGTCCAGCCACTGATTTTTTTTTTTTTTTAAACACATTTCCAATTTTAATTGAAAGGAAAGAAGGAATGTAAGAACTTTAGAGCTTCGAGTTGGGGTTGTAGCTCAGTGGTAGAGCACCTGCCTAGCATGCACTGGGTTTGATTCTCAGCACCATATATAAATAAATAAATATTACATTAATTAATTAATTAAAGGTCCATCAACAACTAAAGAAAGAGAAACTAACCTTTGGCGAAGGGGGAGTGGGGGGGGATTTTAGAGCATCAGAGCTCTGGGAATCTCAGCAAAAACTAGGGCTAATAACAGAACAAATAAATATATTCAATAATATAAATAATAAAATGTTAATGCAACAATGACAACAAATGATCTATAACTATACCCCAAAATATGAATGAATTCCACACACTTAGTGATAAGGAAAAGTAGCCAGAGTATATATGATGAGCAAGAGTTTATATAATGTATGATTACCACCCAAACGTCAAGCTTAGAATATATGCTTTACCAGTTTGCACGTTATACCTCAAAAAAGAAAAAAAAAAAAAAAAAAGAAACTGTTTAAAAGCAGAGGATTAGTAGTCAAACTCAAATGAGATTTTTAAAAAGCCAACACTGAGGGGCTGGGTTGTGGCTCAGCAGTAGAGTCCTCGCCTAGCACGTGCAAGGCCCTGGGTTCGCACATAAAAATAAATAAACAAACAAATAAATAAAAGGTGTTGTGTCCAACTACAACTAAAAAATAAATATTTAAAAAAAGAAAGTACTTGTATTAAAAACTTTAATTTACATATATAAATATTACATCAGAACAGTTTTTAATATTATAGAATGTTCGGAAACTCTCTTCTTGAACTTGTTTATATTAATTTGCTTTGTCAAGCTGCTAATAAATTTCAGCTCTAAATCTATATTAATAAAATATTAACTCTGTCATGTTATTTTCCTTTAATATTTTTTACTTGGAATTTTAGATTTATAAAAAAGTTGAAAGAATAGCACAAACACCCATATATCCTTTATCCAGATTTATCGATTGAAACATGTATCTAGCATCTACAATTTTGCTTGGCTTTATTTTCTCTCCCTACACACACACACACACACACACACACACACACACTCACACACACTCTCACACACACACACTCTCTCTCTCACACACACACACACACATTAGCTGAACCATTTGAAAAGTTGTAGAAACCATGGCCCTTTAACTTTAAATTCCTAAGAACAAGGAGATTCTTTTACATAACCACAGTAATTAACTTTGGTAAATTTACCATTAATACAATATTTTTATCCAGTCTCCTGGCTGCATTTCAGTTTTTCACTTGATTGTGATTATTTTTTATGACACTTTTCCTTTTAGTAGAGGATCCAGTCTAGGATCATAGTTCATGCATTTTTAAAAAAATATTTTGTTATTTGTAGATGGACACAAAACTTTTATCTATCTATCTATTTATTTTTATGTGGTGATGAGGATTGAACCTAGTGCCTCATGCGTGCTAAGCAAACGCTATACCACTGACTCACAACCCCAGCCCCAAGTTCATGCATTTTTAAAGTATGAAACAGTACATTTTATGAAGTGAAAATTTACTACAACCAGACCAACTGCTTATAATAAATTTTCTGGCAAACTGAACTATATTTTTAGTTAAAAATTAATATAAAAATTAACCTTTTAATCTAGGAGGAAAATTCTTTGTAAAAATTATATTTTTCAGGATAGCAATTGTCAGTCACTCCTTATATTACACAGGCAATATTAAGTTTCCTACAAAATCTATCATTGTTATTTAGAGTAAAATATACTTTCTCAAATTTTACCTTAATATTAACTCTGATAACAGTTCATAAAAAAGTATTTTTCATTATATAAATCATGCTGGTACTGGCAATCTGTTTTATAGTGAAGCTTCCATAAACAGTCTCAACTAAATGAACATGATACAGTGCAAATAACTCACTTGTCAGGAGCAAGAAGTTCACATGACCCCATGAGTGAAAATTTGGACATAATATTGGGTTCTCAGGCCATCAAGATACTGAAAAGTTCCTTTTTTTAGTGATGCCTGTTAAATAACCTCTTCCATTCAAAGTGTCTAGAAACACTGGTGTCATTTGAAAACCTATTAGAAATTAAACTCTCAGGCCACATCTCAGACTTACTGAACCCGAAATCTGTACTGGTGGTGGTGGTGGTGGGGTGCTGGGGATTGAACTCAGGGACACTCAACCACCGAGCAACATCCCTAGCCCTATTCTGTATTTATTTAGAGACATGGTCTGAGCTGCTTTGCATATCACTTTTGCTGAGGTTGGCTTCTTTACTCATGATATTCCTGCCTCAGCCTCTGGAGCCACCAGGATTATAGGCATGTGCCCAAGCCCAGCTTAAATCCGTATTTTAATTGCCAAAGTTCAGTTTACTTATGTCTGAATTGTATAATTGAATTTAAAATGTAAAAGTTGCTAAGTGACCTTTTCCATATACACTAAAACCCCTTGAACAAATAACCTTGTGACTCTTATGAATATCAATTTACTTATTAGATTTTTTTCATAAATTAAAAAAATGCAAGGAGATAGCTTATTAGTTACATGGCTTTAGCCAAGTTATTTCCCCCTTTTATGTCTTTATTTCTTTACCTATAAAATGGTGATAATAAGAAAGCCTTTAGTTTGAACACCTATAGTTCACACAGTTATTGTAAGGACTAAATAAACTAATGCATACAGAACACTGAGAAAGGAGCCTATACAAAATCATCACCCAATACATTTTGCAATTATTACTATAATTACTACTACTACTACTACTACTACTACTACTACTACTACTACTGTTAGCTTAGTATCTGGCTAGATGGAGTTCTGAAATAATGTCCAAGAAGAGGTGACATCAACATGTTCTTCTATAAAGAAAAACTTAATGACAGAAGAATTTTTTCAAAAGGTACCACACATTTTCTTATAGAACAGAATGAACACTGAGCTGGAAACATGAGCTCTGAACTCTAGCTTCATCTGTTATGAGACTTTGGACAAGCAGGCAGTTAGCCCAGGTTTTAATTTTCCATTTCTAAAATGAGAGAGTTGAGCTAGAGGTCATCAGTGATTACCTCCAATACTAAAATTCAATAAGATTATATTTGTTTTGTTTTAAGGTTGGGGTCTCACTGTGTTGCCCAAACTGGTCTTGAACTTCTGAGCTCAAGTGATCTTCCCTACTTAGCCTCTGAAGTGCTAGGATAACAGGCATGTGTCACAACATCCAGCTGGATTCTATATTACTTTAAAAACAATTTTAAAAACAATTCATACAAGAACATTACAACACTATCTAAAAAGAGAAACTATTTATGTATAAAGTATGAAATTCAGATTTAGGCATTTAACAAATGATAAATAAATTATGTTAAAGACTGGTTAATGTTTCCATAGGTATGTTCAGATAATAAAAAATGATTACGGGGGCTGGGGATATAGCTCAGGTGGTCGAGTGCTTGCCTCTCATGCACAAGGCCCTGGGTTCATTCTCCAGCACCATCAAAAAAAAAAAAAAAAAAAAAAGATTAGGCTATATACTTAAAATATATCAACTTTTTGTATGAATACTATACTTAATGAAACTTCAGAATGTGAAAAGACTATTTCATATAAACCTAAAATTCTAATTCCTCTAGGAATGGGCCAGAAAGCGTCCAGAAACAGGTACCAAGATAGTCAATCTTAGAAGAATTGAAATATTTTATTTTTATTTCAGATCTGGCAAAACTGAGAACAAAGATGTCCAGAAAATTTCATGGCATCATATTCTCAATCACAGCAGGAACAACAATGGATCTTAATGCCAACTCCAATCCTAAGTAGCCATTTAACTTTTAGTTACAACACCCCACTTGTATAAGGCTTTAATTTCTTTACATTATTTGGCATTGTATTAATTTGTATTTCTAGTCTAAAACTTATGAATCTGAAAGATACTGTAAAAATACAAATATACTTTAAAATAATGATCTGGAATTAATTTTTCAGGAAACACTAAATATTCACATATGGTTATGCTTACATTCAATTTTTAAGCTACAATGACACAGACTTTAGTTACATTTACTTACCTGAGTAAGTAACATAAAGGCATTATCTGCTCTAAGATGTTTGGTGAGAAATTCCACACAATGTGCTTCCAAGGCTGGGACTGCATATTTCTTAGCAGTATAAAGAGTGGTCATAACTGTTTCTGGGCCAATTTGAACTTCATCTGAATACAGGAATCTGCAAAGCAATTAGGAAATTTGCAGAGATGATCAGCACTATTTTAGATAAGAAATCAACCAGAGCTAACTAAACCTTTAAGGAATATTTTAAAAGACAATGAGCAAACTGAAAATCTGAAGCTTTTAAAAGATTCTACAGTCTTGTAAGCATTGGCACATATATCATCTCATTTTATTTATATTCAATCCTGAGAAGAAGTGACTCCATTTTAAAGGGAAAACTGAGGCGAAGTAAATCACAAGATTACTTTTAGCATCCCATAGCTACTTGCAATAATAGTGGTTCATTTATCTCTCCACCATTTCAGGGGAGATAAATCTGCATTTGTAAATCTACAGATAGCTAAAGTCAGATAGAAAGGGAAATGTTTCTCTACATCAACAGGCATAGTGTGGGTACATGTTTAAGTTTCAATAAATACATGTTAACTGACTAGACAATTCAGTACTGATTGCCATATAACACTGACAGGGAAAACATTTTCATTTTTGGTAAGAAAAAAAGTTATCTACGGGCTGAGGTTGTAGCTCAGTGGTAGAGCGCTTGCCTCACATGTGTGAGGCACTGGGTTCGATCCACAGCACCACATAAAAATAAATAAATAAATAAAATAAAGGTATTGTGTCCATCTACAACTAAAAAAAATATTAAAAAAGAAAATCCAAGAATCAGCCAAGAGGAGTGGCACACACCTGTAATCTCAGCAGCTCAGGAGGCTGAGGAAAGGAAGATCTCGAGTTCAAAGCCAGACTCAGCAAATTAGCAAGGCCCTAAGCAACTCAGGAAGACCCTGTCTAATAAAAATATATAAAAGGGCTGGGGATGTAGCTTGGTGGTTAAGCATCCCTGGGTTCAATCTCTGGTCATAGGAAAAAAAGAATCATCTTCATTCATATTTTACTTATATAGTTTTTAAATAAGCCAAGATTTTAAAAGTATTAAAAGATTTTATAAGTATTAAAACTTAAGCATAACATTACCACAATTCTTTGTATTTTAAAATGACCACTTAAGCTCTCATATATATAACCTCTAAGGACAAGAGCACAGATAAATGACTGAATAACATCAAACTATCCCTGTTTTCTCCCCAGAGATGGGTTTCTAAAAAGATAAAGCTTAGGTTACATTTAATCTAATTGAAAGGTTTTTAAAAGGCTAAGGTGAAAACTTGATTTCATAAGGAAAAAGTCACAAGACCATGTATAAGGAAATTTATATTACAACTCAAAAACTCTTATTGAGGACTACATATTAGCAGGCATTGTGATAGGTGCTAGAGATAAAAATATGGGGGCTGGGGATGTGGCTCAAGCGGTAGCGTGCTCGCCTGGCATGCGTGTGGCCGGGGTTCGATCCTCAGCACCACATACAAACAAAGATGTTGTGTCTACTGAAAACTTTAAAAATAAATAAATAAATATTTTTAAAAAATGCTCTTTCTCCCTCTCTCTTTAAAAAAATATATAGGTAAGACAGCTTATAGCTTAACAATGAAATTATTAAGAAGTAACACCATAATGATAACAGAAGTATCCATTAGACACCAATACATGATAACTAATTTCTTAAGATGCTCCCCAATAAAACATGCCTTTTTCCACTCATAATGAATCTGCATCAACATAGTATGGATCACTTTAATCAACAGAATGTGGCTCTGTGCCAGTTTGGGGCCTATACCTTAAGGATACTGGGAGCTCCTGAAGTGTGTTCTTGGGAAACATCAGCCAAGAAATCAAGCTACTCTGCTGAAGAGACTAGCTACTCTGCTGAAGAGACTTCCTAGAGAGGATCTGAGATTATAAGGATACGGAAAAAGCTTAGCCATTCCAGAATCTGAGTCATACCTTCAGATAACTCCAGCTCCTGTTACTACCTGGTACAACTATATAAGAGACCAGAAAAAGTTGCCAAACAAACCACCCAGGTTATCCCAGACAACCCACATTACTATAAAAGATAATAAAACTATTGTTTAAGACACTAGGCATTGCAGTGATTTATTCTACAGTAACATTTAACCAAAACATGATGTCAGAGATTAGATGAGCCAGTGCATGCTTCTACCTCTGGGGTAGAAGTAATGATTAAAAAACAGAAAAGAAAATGGAAATCTTGAAGATTATCTGTAGTAATTAAACGTGGAGATTTAAGCAGAAAGACTGCAAAGTTGGAAGATATGGAGCTCTTTTCTAAGACAGGCATTAAAACAAGAAAAAGACCATGAGGAATCAGGTTTGGGACACTTAATGGATTGGGGGTGGGGACAAAGATCAAATCACAAAGGTTTTGTGTGCCTGTTAAGTTTTTAAACTTCATCCTACAGGCAAAAAAAAAAAAAAAAAAAAAATACAGAAAGAAAAGAAAAGAAGAGAAAGGAAAGGAAAGAAAAGAAAAGAATGAATGAATCATTAAAAGATTCAAAGGAACCATGATACTTATTTGCAATATTAGAACGATAATTGTTAACAACATTGGTAGAGAGAGTTAAGTCTTGAAAAGGATGAGAAATCTGTACAACAAAATGAAACCAAATTACAACTGAGAGTCAAGCCTACAAGTCACTTCCCAGATGACCCACAGAATCAGGACCAAGAATAAACTAGTTTAAGCACCAGAATTTTGGGATTCTTTATAGCATTATAAAGCTGACAGGAGATAATACTAAGTGAGCCTGCCTCAAAAGGCTATACTCTGAAATGTGAGTCCACATAAGGTACACAAGAACAGTAAATGGCACACAGCAAATACTCATCAAAGATGTTTTTATTAAAGATAGGTCCACCTGCATAGGTACCAGACATCTCTATGTGAAAGTCCAGTTGAAAATTAAAGTCTGGAATATGCCATGCATTAATGGGGGAAAAGAAGATGCTGACGAGGACAACATCCTAAGGAAGTTACCCTTACAGTCATTCCTCCATTTCGCTGCTCCCCTTTGCAACAAAATGACATGATCGATTATACTAGCTGTCTGCAGTTCCTCATCTCCCATTTTCTCCCCAACCTCCTCTAGTCAGCCAAAAACACTCCACAGGGTTATATCCACAGTTGCCCTCTCATCAAAACTAATCATTATCAGGCACAGTGGCGCACACCTGTAGTCCCATCCACTGAGGAGGCTGAGGCAGGAGGATCACAAGTTCAAAGACAGTCTCAGCAAAAGCAAGGAGCTAAGCAACTCAGTAAGACTCTCTCTCTAAAAAAAAAAAAAAAAAAAAAAAAAAAATTACAAAATAGGGCTGGGGATGTGGCTCAGTGGCCGAGTGCCCCTGAGTTCAATCCCCAGTTGCACCCGCTCCTGCCAAAAACCCCAACAACTAATAATCAATTCAATGTCATTTGATCCAACTCTCAAAGGTATTTTACATAGCTGGCCACTTTTCCACTCCCTTTTTCTTCAAACATTATCTTCAACTTGACCTTTAGGATTCCACTAACAGTTGCCTGTTTCATTTTATGATCCTTTTCTGTGGCTACATCTCCACACACACTGGAAGATACCAGCACTCATCCTTGTATCTCTCTTCACAATCCATATCCGTTCCCTACATAATCTCATTTGGTCTAATCATTTAAACACAATTCATTCTTTCTTTTTTTTCTTGCCTGGACTACTATAAAAGTCTTTTAATTCATCCTACCGCATCTTATTTTATTCCCCCTATGGTCTGATCTCCAAACAACTATAAAAATGAGTTTTAAAACACGTAAACCAAATCACAGCACACCCCTGGTCAAAGTCCTCCACATACTTTTCATCACATTTAGATGAAACTCGAAGTCCTTCATTCTCTAAAGTCCTGCATGATCCTATCAGGGTTTGTTGTTGGTTTTGGCTTTTATTTATTTATTTAGTTAGTTAGTTTTTGGCAGACACAACATCTTAGTTTGTATGTGGTGCTGAGGATCGAACCCAGGCCACACGCATGCCAGGCAAGCACGCTACCGCTTGAGCCACATCCCCAGCCCCTGTTTTTGGTTTTTTTAAACTTATCTTCTATTACTTCCCTCTTGTTAAAAAAAATACATATATTTTTTAGTTGTAGATGGACACAATATTTTTATTTTATTTATTTATTTATTTATTTAATGTGGTGCTGAGGATTGAACCCAGTGCCTCATGCATACGAGGCAAGTGCTCTACACTGAGCCACAGCCCCAGCCCCTATTACTTCCCTCTTATTCAGCTCGAATCACACTGGTTTACTCTGGCAGTTCTTCCAACAGCAGAAACTCAGCACCTAAAACATACTTTTTCTTGCTTAGAATGCTTCTTCCCCCATAGGCTTGATCATTTTTCTTCAAAACACTCATCAGTATTTATTAGATTATAAGCTTTATGTTGGCAGAGACTTCTTCTTCACTGCTATATACCAAAACCGAAACCAGTGACTGGTATAGGGAGGCATATAACAATGGTCAAATGAACAAATGGAAGAGGGCTGGAGCTGGAGCTCAGTGGCAGAGTGCCTCCCTCGCACATATGAGGTACTGGGTTCGATTCTGAGCACCACATAAAAATAAATAAATAATGATATTGTGTCCACCTACAACTAAAAAAAAATTTTAAAAAAATGAGCAAATGAAGAATATTATTTAAAGGGCAAGCAGTTCAAAGTGAGCAGTTTTTAAAATGGCTTTCAAACCTAAGTTCGTAAGTCTTTACTAGGTAAATACAGCATCTATGCTTCAGTCAGCCAATAACTAAGTTTAAAAATGGGCCTAGGTTCAATTTCCACTACAGAAAACAAAAGCAAACAAAACAACAACAAAAAACAGCCTACGTAGCAATTTCAGAATAGAAACAATAACTGAAGGATGAATATCATGAAAATACAATGCACTAAAAATAGAAAATGAGAAATGAAACTGCACTGTGCTACATTTCAAGGACTATAAAAGCAACTTATTTTCTATTGATGAGAAAGGACTGATTAGCACCTTCAATGAAAAGATCAAACATACATTTTTCATTCTACAGTCAATCCTAGCAATTTCAACACTTTTTCAAAGGAAAAAAACTCATGATATTTTTACATTGATGGTTCTCTAATTTAGCCATAAGTATCATTTAGGGAGAGTACTAAAAATGCTCTCAAAGTCTCATCTCCAAAAGTAATACTGTAAGGAGAAAGGAAAGATAATCTACTTGATCCTCCTAGTCAATTTCAAACCAAAAACCAAAATGACCTAGAAAATGGCCCCCCACAAGAAATAAATACAACTGAATACTGACAATATAGTAAACAAAGAGAAAAGAAGGGAAAAAAAGGACCATCATCTTGGTGTTTCCTTCTATCCTTGTCTTTAGGTATGCTTGCCTGTTTCTTTCAATAGTTGTAATTACTTTGCATGGAATTCTAAATTCTATTTATTATAAACATTTTTCATATTATTACCTGGTTTTTACAAGTGTCAAATTTAGTGACTGCATTATATTCCATCAAGTGGAATATAATGTTTACCTAACCTTTCCCTACAGCTGACTTCTTCCTCGTTATTATAAATAACACTACTGTAAATATTTTGTACAGAACATTCTTCTAATATTTTGATGCTTCCTGAGTGTGGAAAGAAAACCTATAGTAAACTATTTTCCAAAAGGGTTTTTGAACCCCATCTTTGTCAAAAGTGCTCCTCAGAAGTGAACTTAAAAAAAAATGGTGTCAAAAGAAGGGGGAAAGTATCTCATTGTTTTAAATTGCACTTCCTTATTTATTTACTAAGATTAAATATTTTTTGTTAATAAGTTGTACTTTTCTTTGATAACTAAAAAATCCTGTCTTTTATCCATTTATTAATGGGATTTTAGCATTCATTTCTGATTGTGTGAACTTTATATTCAATTTCCTATTGGTTCCTGATTGAGTGGTGAGCCTTTGCGGGCTCTCCATTGGATTCCAATGACCTGTCCCCGATTGAGTATGGCTCAAGATGCTGCTACCTTAAAAACAACACATTCTATTCAGGCAGCCAAAAACGTCTTGGTATAATGAAACACACATGGTCTTCTGTGTGAGCTGGCTCCATTACTTTGGACTAGTTACTTTTCTAGGCCTCGGTCCTATTATAAAATTGGGAAAAATACCTACACCTCCCTAACAGGGAGGGCTGTTGTGATAAAAAGCTAATTAATGCCTAACTAGTACATCTCTTCCACTAAACAAAATCAATCAGATGTGACTCTACTATCCTAAAATATTGACAGAACCAAATATAATACATGGCAAAATTCGTTTTTGAGCAAATGTGACCTCTTGTGCAGAAACACAAGGCAAGTAAAGACATGTATTTGTCTTGGTTATTCACTCTCCTGAGGCTTGACAACTAATACGTTAATCAATAACTTTTTAAAAAGTAAACAAAAATACAAATCTTGCAAGCGGGCAATCAGGACAACCTCGACCATCCTCTACTCTGACCACTTCTCCTAACTCAGGCCAACTGAAATGTGCAGGCGCCTTCAACGGTAGGACGCACGCTGGTGGAGACAGACACCAACATCTTCTCCCAAGACCAGCAGATGCCGCCCGGCTTGCGGGACGACTCCAACCTCTGGGAGCACACCAGCTGGGCGCCACTCACCTCAGCAGCGCCAGGAAGGCGGCGGGCTCTACGTCCGGCAGCTCGATCTCGGCCGACGTGGTGGCCATGCCGCCGTTGAACATGGCGTCGAAGACTGCGCTGCCGGCTGCCAGCACGAAACGGTGTGCGGGGATGCGCTGCGGGCCCCCAGCGGCGGCAGCGCTGCGGCCCTTGCCCAGTACGAAGCGCACATCGCTCAGTAGCTCCGAGTTGAAGAGGAAAGCGAAGCGCTCCTTCAGCGACGCCTTGGTAGCCTGCCAGTTGTACAGCGGCTCCCGCTGTAGAGGAAGCAGGGGTCCCAGGGGCGGCGGCGGCGGCGAGGAGCCCGGCTCCGCCTCGGCGCCCGGGACTTGGTCTCCAGCTGCGGCCGGCCCCATCGCAGCCATCCTGCTCTGCGCAGCTCCCAGCTACGCGGACAGCTCCCGCAGCGGCACCGCCATCGTGTAGCCGCCCCAGGCCGGCACCGCCCCCTGTCTTCCGGAAAGGCGTTTCCGGCTCCATTCCCCCGCAGCCCGACACCCCCCCCCCCAAGGCGCGCGGCCCGCCCCTGCAGCAGGCACGTTCCCGCGGCCGAAAAAACCCAGGTGCGCGGCCGCCCGAGCCGGCGCTAGTGGCTACTGCCGCTGTCTGCAGCTGGACCAGACTCCCATCGCGACCCAGCTCCGCGCTCGCGCAGATGGATCTTCTTCGGGCGTGAGTGCTTTGGCCCAAACCCACCAGCACCACCCCAGGCATCCAAAGAAATCAACAGGCAGCTTGCACCGCTTTGCTTTCTCTTCTTTCTCCCAAACCCTCCTCGCAGGGTGTTGAGGAAAGGAAGAGTGACAAGTCCCCAGGCCTTTCCCACTGTAGGCCTTTCCCACTGTAGGCCTTTCCCACGGGAGCATGTGAGGAGCAGACACCGTGACTCCTCACAGTCAAGGCCAAGTCACCACTGCAGATGGCCGCCCCTCCTGTGGAAAACCCAGAAGCAGAGCTGAGAGGCTTTGAACCCCAGTGAGTTCTCCCCCTGGTCTACAGGCCTCTTCCCCTACGTGCTCTTCTGGTCTTTACTTCCCAGCATAAGAATTATTTCCTCCAATTTCCATTCCTGTAGCTGAAGACCCTCCTGCTAATAAAAACCCTCTTCTAGCACTTGTTTTCAGACTGTACTTAAGGATTCAGTATACTGAATATACTTTATACTCTTTTTATTTATGTTACATTAATAAAATATTAAATTTCATTTTTAAAAAAATCAATGGAGAAGGCTACTGTCAACTGTGAAAGGTCAGGATTAGAGAACAGATGCCTTCCCTGAGTCAGCTCTTAAAGAAGAAAGGCAAGGGGCTGGGGTTGTAGCTCAGTGATGGAGCGCATGCCTAGCCCGTGTGAGGCATTGGGTTCCATCCTCAGCACCGCATAAAAATAAATAAAGCAAAGGTATTGTGTCCATCTACAACTAAAAAAAAAAAAAAAAAGACGGAAGGTAAGAGACGCAGGAAATACTTCTTCTTGACCAAGCAAGTATAGCTTCCTTTCAGATTACAAATGCCAAGTAATCTAAGTATTCTGAACCTGAATCTAGTAAAATCACTACACCTACCAAACCCCGGAAAGGACTTCCCATGGCTAGTCATTCAGATTGATGACTTTTGGGGGAAAGGAAAAGATTTGAAGTGATAAGGACTGAAAGAGAACAGTCCTTCCCAATACTCCTAAAGGCAAGGAAGTTATGCTACAAGTGATAGCGTCATTACATTCAACATAATTGACAATGTCACATATCATCTAAAATATGCCTAGTATCATTGAACAGTCCACAAACTTAAGAGTGGACTATTGCCTCAAAAAAATGTCTTTCATAAACAGTTTCCCACCATTCCAGGATTGAATCAAAGTTCCCATAGTAGTATTGATTTTTTTAGAAAGTTCAATCTGGATTTGCCTGGTTGTCCCTACATGATTCATAGTTAGAGTCTAGGTTAAACATTCTGGGCAATAATACTATGCAGGTGATGTTATGTACTTACTGCTTCACTTCAGAAGTCACACTGTTCAAGATACTAAACTTGATAACTTAGTTAAGACTGTGACTGCCAGATCTCTCCATTGTAAAGATATTTTATTCCAATGTAATTAATAAGTAATTCATGGGGAAGATATTCAGAGACTGAGTTGAACCCAAATCCTGTCAGTGTTTTCAGCATCCATTGATGATTCAAAAACCAGTTTTCAACCATAATGTAGCAACCATGTCTTACTCTCACACCCAAAACAATCATACCCAGTCTTGGTGGTGCATGCCTGTAATTTCAGCAACTTGGGAGGCTGACGCAGGAAGATTGCAAGTTTGAGGCCAGCCTCATCAATTTAGGAAGGACCTAAGCAACTTAATAAGGCCCTGTCTCAAAATTAAAAAAAAAAAAAAAATAGAAATGGCTGGGGATGTGGCTCAATGGTAAAACACCCCTTGGTTCAATCTCTCATAACCAAACAAAATAAAACAACAAGCTAGGAAGAGAGAGAGAGAGAGAGAGAGAGAGAGAGAGAGAGAGAGAGAGCGCGCTTGAGCTGAGCACAGTGGCACATACCTGTAATCCCAGCTACTCAGGAAGCTCAGCAGGAGGACTGCAGGTCAGCCTTGGCATCTTAATGAGACCCTGTCTCAAAATAAAAAATAAAAGGCTGGGTATGTAGCTCAGTGGTGAAATGTCCCTGGGTTCAATTCCTAGCACTGCAGAAAGAAGAAGAGGAGGAGGAATAAAATATACAGAGAGATAAACAACTCAAGGCATTGTTAAAGGAAATATTTATTCTTGTTAAAATAGTAAGCCTTCAAGACTATTGCAATGGGGAGAGAGGGCAGACTCAGCTCTTAATACAGGAAACAAATGCAAATACAGCTGGGGATTTATATACAAAAAGCAAAGTAAGTCAGTGAAGGGAAAACTACTTAGAGGATGCAAGAGGGGTGGGGGACATTCTTGCTAAATGGAGTTAGCACCATTCTTGCTAAGATTGGCATGGGTAGACCAGAGAGGACAGGGACCAAGATCAAAGCCTTGTTGAAGGTTCAGAAAAGTCTGACTAAAGTCTGGTCAAGGGGAGTGTATGTCCACATTATAGAATAATGAATACAGGTAATGTAGTGGCACCCCCTCCTCCACAAAACTTCTAAGCTTCTCCAGAAATCTTCACCTTAATTGATCTTAAGACTATAAGCAAAAGATTCTCTACAAAGAAGTTCAATGGAGTTAAACTTCCTGTTTTGCTGTTGCTCTATTTTACTTGGCCACTGGCCAGGAAGAAATCAGCACTCCAGGTGCTGAATCCCCCTTTACTTGTTTTTCACAAACATGTATCCAGTATAGTAGTTTGTAAAAGTGTGTTTGCAAATGCAAAATGTGATAAAAAGGACAAATACTTTAATAAGGCCTCTGGCCTTGAGCTGGAGCTTCACAGAGAGATCTACATTTCTAAGATGAGGGAAATAACCAGGGCTGGGACTGTGACTCAGAGGTAGTGCACTTGCCTGGCATGTGTGAGGCACTGGGTTCAATTCTCAACACCACATGTAAATAAATAAAATAAAGATCCATCAATAACTAAGAAAAAAATTTAAAAAAGAGAGAAAAGTAACCAATTGGGCTCCATGGTAACAGCTGGCAGGGGGAGGAAAGAAAGGGGAGAAGAAGCTTCTTCTCTCCTTTTCAGGTGTTGTCCTTGAAGGGTTAACTTGCCCAGAACAGTGAAAGAAAAAGCTACTTTTATGTGAACTTCTGCAGACTATGAACTTTCTAAGCCCCTCCCCTTATATGTTGGGTAGGAAATTCTGAAACCTGAATTCGGTGTTCAGGGGATTGACTGATTACAGCAAAAGCTGTGCCCTCTGAACCTGGCTGCAGCCAAATAAAACTGTTTCTTGCTGTCTTCAGTGCCTTACCTCGTCTGTCCCTATAACAGTAAGACTTGAGGGACTATGATACCTCACAGAAGAGAAGTATAAGAGATTTCCTTCTCTGAGGGCATCTTCTGATTTTTTTGTTTGTTTGTTTATTTCCCAATCAGAAAGAATTAAGGAAGCACAAGATGAGGTTGCCAAAATAGCTGAGGAAAAAAGTACTAGAAAGGAAGAAACTACAGAGAATTAAACCTAAAAATCTGCATATAAATTTACTTCATGCTACTGGACAGCTTCTCTAACTGTACATGGACAGAGAGAAACTATAGTAGCTAAGAGACTAAAAGGTAAATAGAGCCTTCAGATGTGTTGCACAAACAGAGACTATATAATTCAAATTCCAGGAAGATGGATGAGCCTTGGGAAATATAAGGGGCTTTTGGGTGAAAAGCCATAGGCATGCCCTAGAAGTAAGGGTTACACACTAGTTACAAGAATAAAATGAAATAGCTTAAAACTAATCATTGACAGGTTTAAGGTGGTCTGTTTTAAGAGATATATATCATCCAGAGACTCTTACTTCCTCCCCACCCAGAACTGGGGATTGATTCAGGGGTACTCTGCCAATGATCTACATTTCCAGCCTGTTTTTATTTTCTTGTTTTTATTATGAGATAGGCTTTTGCTAAATCACAGAGGTTGGCCTCAAACTTGCAGTCTTCCTGCTTCAGCCTTCCAAGGGGCTGGGATTACAGGTGTTTGCCACCATGCTGGACCAGAGACTCTACATTTTTTCTTCTACTGTGTTGTCAGGAAATAATTAAAATTATGAGTCATGCTGAGCTGTGACCAGTGCAGCCAAACTTGCAAGTTCCAGCAAGGGACAAAGGGGGATAAGAAAAGTAAAAACTCACACTCGCAGATGATTTTGAAGATAAAACTGGGGTTAGGTGGAGTGCTGCTCTGTGATGGAGAAGCAGATCTAAAGAGTTACACCAGCAAACTTTATTTAAATACATCTCATTATCAGGTGAAATAATATGCGAACATTATGCTTTGTATTCAGGAAAGTTACAGAAACTAGAAACATCTATGTAGGTTTTCCACAGTTGCAATCCACAGTTGCAATGTGCAATTTTAGGAGCTTTGTGTAGCTCTCAAGAAGGTCCATTGTTTAAAGTTACTGTTAAGTGGGCAGGCTCAGGAGTAACAGAGCTAGTGAAACATTGTTGTTGTCCAGTAAGAGAATCCCTCTATTCCCAGGAGTTATGTGCCTGAGATCAAGGTCAAAGCTGATAAGACTCTTGCACAGAGCCTCCTCATGCAAGGCATTACCACAGTAGCTAAGCATCCTGTGCCCTTGCACAGAACATTCCCTAGCACTCTGCATGCCACAGGCATGAGGTCATCAGAGACCCCACTGTCAGATACTGCCCTCCTATTCTCTGTCACTGCTCTCCACAATGCTGAAAATAAGAGAAAAGTAAAAAGAGAATAATAGAATTCATTCTATGAGTGATTCAGATATTAGATGTATCAGATAAAGACTCCAAAAATAACTATGGTTCATATAATGAGAAAAA